TTTTATGTTATAATGGTTCATAGCTAGCTAGAGACCCATCAACCAACCCGAATGGTTCTTTGTTTAACTTTTGAATGTTTCCTTCACTGTTCATAAGGAAAGGATTTAGCTTTAGACACTGAAAATGTTTTGGTTAGTTCTCAGAGAGGGACTTATATATTTATGTATATGCTATTCTACATTAAAAAATTTCGATGATTTGGTTAATCAACTGAAATGGTTGTCTTCAAAAACATAGAATTAGATTTGGACAGAATATTGAATCTCTCCCAGGTTAAATCTTTTCGGTATTGACTGAAATTTAAAGTTGAAGAGTTAAAGGTTGTCATTTTAATCTTTCATACTAGTTGTTTTTTCCCCTTGCATGCGTGAATTCATCCATTGGTAGTTTGTAAGGACACTCAGGGTGGATTGAGTGCACAAGCAATACTCATCTTATTAGTCTTTTTATTTTTTTTTTAAATTTTTTGGTAGTTTGTATATATGCTTTTTTTTTCATTAAGGTTTTTAAAATTGTTGGATCAACAGTAATTAATATGTTTGAAGATTAATCTTTTTTTTGCAATGCAAACAAATAAAGTTTTATAACAAATAGAGTACAAGGTGTTGAGCCCATATGCACAATCTTCACATGGTATTAAAGCCCAAGTTTTGCCCTGAGAGCCTGTTATCAACCCACCTAACAAGACCCGAAGTTGAAGATACTGGACTTGCATTTAAGGGGGTTTGTTAATCCATGTGACAGAACCCAACATTAATAACGGGCTTGCATGTGAGAGAGCGTGTTAAGTGGGAAAATCTCACATCAAGTATAAAAATAAAAAACTTGTGGGTTCAATACAAAAAAGGCCACTCCACATATTGCCAATTGGTTTTAGGTTGGATGCAAGCCTTGTGTTGAGCCCACATGCATAATTTTCATATGGTATCAGAGCCCAAATTTTGTCCTGAGAAATCCATTGTTAGTCCACTTGACAAGGCCCAAAATTAAAGATAATGGGCTTGCATTTAAGGTGGCGTGTTAGCCTAAATGATAAGACCCAACATTCATAGAGGGCCTACACGTAAAGGGGCATGTTGAGTGGGAAAGTCCCACATATCATATAGAGTATAAAAGTAAGAAGCTTGTGAGTTAAATATAAGGAAGGCGACTCCACCTATTACCAATTGGTTTTAGGTTGGATGCAAGCCTTGTATTAAGCCTACATGCTTCTTGCTTTTATACTCGATGTGGGATTTTCTCACTCAACACGCCCCCTCACGTATAGGCCCGCTATGAATGTTAGGTCCTATCATGTAGGCTAACATGCCCCCTTAAATGCAGGCTCGGTATCTTTAACTTTAGGTCTTGTCAAGTGGGCTAACAATGGGCTTCCCATAACAGAATCTGGGCTTTGATACCATGTGAAAATTATGCATGTGGGCTCAACGCAAGGCTTGCATCCAACTTAAAACTAATTGGCAATAGATGAAGTGGCCTTCCTTGTATTGAATCCACATGCACAACTTTCATAAGGTGAGCCTTTCATTTACATTGATTCTTCATTTGACAATTTTTAGTTGCCTTTCAAAACAAAAAAGAAAAAAGAAAAAAAAGAAAAGAAAACAAAAGAAAGGGGTAGTATTTAATATTAAAGAAGTTGAATCTGTGCAAAACGGGTTGTTTCTATTTTGCAAACCTACATTTTTTATTCCCCATAATCAAAAGAAGAAGTTTAGGTGAGTCTTCCATGATTTTCAGTTGCCTTTCAAAAAAAAAAATTTCGATCTTCTTTTTTTTTATTAGTAGAAAAAAGTTTCAATCAACGTGTTTTCTTCTTGACTTGATTTAAAGCTATTTTTAGTTGTAATTTTGGTTGTACAACTTATTGATTTTCTGGTTTTTTTGTTATTCGTTATAAGTTTTTGCTTCATCCTAATTTATGAACAGTATAGTTGAGTGATATTTAATTATATTTTTTTAATTGAAATAGATAACCAAGATTCAAGAATGAGGGAACTATTTTCAGACATCTATACTAAGGGTTTGCCTTTTCTGGTTTTAGTTTTGTCCTTAATAGTCCTGTCTTTTCTTGGAGTGTTTATGGAGTTAGAAACTTGGAGTTTAGCAGAAAGATATAAAATCATGCTTGTTTTATGTTTGGCATTGGGTCAACTGGTGGTGGCATTGTATAGACCTTTAGAAATAGTTAGGAATTCAACCTTCATGAGGGGACCTCACGGACCTTTTTTACAATCCTTGAATGTACTAGTGGGTTGTGTGGTTACCATTCTACTTAACTCCATTTCTCAGTTCAATATCATCTTATTAGTCTTTAGTTTGGCTGCTTTAGTGAGTTTGAATGAATTGATTCGACCGACCATAGATTTTGGTTTAATCAACTCAGTATTCTCTTCTATTGCTATCCATTTTGGTTTTTTCTCGCATCAAGGTTTAAGGATTCTAGTTGCTCTGTTATGTTGTTGCATTCTGTATGTCCGTTTTTGTTATGTTGTTGCATTCAATATCATCTTATTAGTCTTTAGTTTGGCTGCTTTAGTGAGTCTGAATGAATTGATTCGACTGACCATAGATTTGGGTTTAATCAACTCAGTATTCTCTTTTATTGCTATCCATTTTGGGTTTTTCTCGCATCAAGGTTTAAGGATTCTAGTTGCTCTGTTATGTTGTTGCATTTTGTATGTCCTTAAGGGTTTGCCTTTTTCTGGTTTTAGTTTTGTCCTTAATAGTCATGTCTACTCTTGGAGTGTTTATGGAGTTAGAAACTTGGAGTTTAGTAGAAAGATATAAAATCATGCTTGTTTTAGTTTTGGCAATGGGTGCATTGTTGGTGTTATTGTATAGACATTTAGAAACGCTTAGGAATTCAACCTTCATGAGGGGACCTCATGTACCTTTTTTACAATCCTTGAATGTTTTAGTGGGTGTGTGGTTACCTATCTACTTAACTCCATTTATCAGTTCAATATCATCTTATTAGTCTTTAGTTTGGCTGCTTTAGTGAGTCTGAATGAATTGATTTGACCAACCACAACTCAATATTCTCTTCTATTGCTATCCATTTTGATTTTTTCTTGCATCAAGGTTTAAGGATTCTAGTTGCTTTGTTATGTTGTTGCATTCTATATGTCCATTTTTGTTGATAGGCTACATGGCCCCAAGCGGTAGCCATGATTCGCCACAATGTGAAAACCCTACAGCAGGTTAACATTTAAGTTTAAAGTTGAACTATAGCTATATTATAATAAGTTTTCTCTCTATGCAATAGATGACAATTTTTTTTTCTGTAGAGACTTCTCAAAGAACTAGTTCTTCTTCAAGTTCTCAACCACAAATTGATTTGGAAACTGTCTTGGTGTTGACAAGTGGAGAAGTCCAGGCCACTAGCAGTGGTGGTGGTAATGTGCGACAACTGGTCTCCCAGTTTGAGAGAATGATGACCCAAGAAAAAATGGGAAAAAAGTGAATGATCACTGTTTAGAATTTTATGTTATAATGGTTCATAGCTAGCTAGAGACCCATCAACCAACCCAAATGGTTCTTTGTTTAACTTTTGAATGTTTCCTTCACTGTTCATAAGGAAATGATTTAGCTTTAGACACTAAAAATGTTTTGGTTAGTTCTCAAAGAGGGACTTATATATTTATGTATATGTTATTCTGCATTAAAAAATTTTGATGATTTGGTTAATTAACTGAAATGGTTGTCTTCAAAAACATAGAATTAGATTTGGACAGAATATTTAATCTCTCCCAGGTTAAATCTTTTCGGTATTGACTGAAATTTAGAGTTAAAGAGTTAAAGGTTGTCATTTTAATCCTGGTTGTTTTTTCCCATTGCATGTGTGAATTCATCCATTGGTAGTTTGTAAGGACACTCAGGGTGGATTGAGTGCACAAGCACTACTCATCTTATTAGTCTTTTTATTTATTTTTTAATTTTGTTGGTAGTTTGTATATATACCTTTTTTTTTTTCATTAAGCTTTTTAAAATCGTTGGATCAACAGTAAAGATTAAATTTTTTTTTTTGCACAGCAAACAAATAAAGTTTTATAACAAATAGAGTACAAGGTGTTGAGCCCATATGCACAATCTTCACATGGTATTAGAACCCAAGTTTTGCCCTGAGAGCCCGTTATCAACCCACCTAACAAGACTCGAAGTTGAAGATACTGGACTTGCATTTAAGGGGGCTTGTTAACCCACGTGACAGAACCCAACATTGATAGTGGGCCTGCACATGAGGGGGCGTGTTAAGTGGGAAAATCTCACATCGAGTATAAAAATAAGAAGCTTGTGGGTTAAATACAAGAAAGGCCACTCCACATATTGCCAATTGGTTTTAGGTTGGATGCAAGTCTTGTGTTGAGCCCACATGCATAATTTTCATATGGTATCAAAGCCCAAATTTTGTCTTGAGAAGTCCATTGTTAGCCCACCTAACAAGGCCCAAAATTAAAGATACCGGGCCTGCATTTAAGGGGGTGTGTTAGCCCAAATGATAGGACCCGACATTCATAGAGGGCCTACACGTAAGGGGGCGTGTTGAGTGGGAAAGTCCCACATATCATATAGAGTATAAAAGTAAGAAGCTTGTGAGTTAAATATAAGGAACGCCACTCCACCTATTGCTAATTGGTTTTAGGTTGGATGCAAGCCTTACATTAAGCCCACATACTTCTTGCTTTTATACTCGATGTGGGATTTTTCCACTCAACACGCCTCCTCACATGTAGGCCCGCTATGAATGTTAGGTCCTATCATGTAAGCTAACACGCCCCCTTAAATGCAGGCTCGGTATCTTTAACTTTAGGTTTTGTCAGGTGGGCTAACAACGGGCTTGCCATAACAGAATCTGGGCTTTGATACCATGTGAAAATTATGCATGTGGGCTCAACGCAAGACTTGTATCCAACCTAAAACTAATTGGCAATAAGTGTAGTGGCCTTCCTTGTATTGAGTCCACATGCACAACTTTCATAAGGTGAGCCTTTCATTTACATTGACTCTTCATTTGACAATTTTTAGTTGCCTTTCAAAACAAAAAAAAAAAAAGAAAAGAAAAGAAAGGGGTAGTATTTAATATTAAAGAAGTTGAATATGTGCAAAACGGGTTGTTTCTATTTTGTAGACCTACGTTTTTTCTTCCCCATAATCAAAAGAAGAAGTTTAGGTGAGTCTTCCATGCCTTTCAAAAAAAAAAAAATTTCGATCTTCTCTTTTTTTATCAGTAGAAAAAAGTTTCAATCAACATGTTTTCTTCTTGACTTGATTTAAAGCTATTTTTAGTTGTAATTTTTGTTGTACAACTTATTGATTTTCTGGTTTTTTTGTTATTCGTTATAAGTTTTTGCTTCATCCTAATTTATGAACAGTATAGTTGAGTGATATTTAATTATATTTTTTTAATTGAAATAGATAACCAAGATTTAAGAATGAGGGAACTATTTTCAGACGTCTATACTAAGGGTTTGCCTTTTCTGGTTTTAGTTTTGTCCTTAATAGTCCTGTCTTTTCTTGGAGTGGGTATGGAGTTAGAAACTTGGAGTTTAGCAGAAAGATATAAAATCATGCTTGTTTTATGTTTGGCATTGGGCCAACTGGTGGTGGCATTGTATAGACCTTTAGAAATAGTTAGGAATTCAACCTTCATGAGGGGACCTCACGGACCTTTTTTACAATCCTTGAATGTACTAGTGGGTTGTGTGGTTACCATTCTACTTAACTCCATTTCTCAGTTCAATATCATCTTATTAGTCTTTAGTTTGGCTGCTTTAGTGAGTTTGAATGAATTGATTCGACCGACCATAGATTTTGGTTTAATCAACTCAGTATTCTCTTCTATTGCTATCCATTTTGGTTTTTTCTCGCATCAAGGTTTAAGGATTCTAGTTGCTCTGTTATGTTGTTGCATTCTATATGTCTGTTTTTGTAGATAGGCTGCATGGCCTCAAGCGGCAACCATGCGTTCGCCACAATTTGAAGACCCTACAGCAGGTTAACATTTAAGTTTAAAGTTGAACTATAACTATACTATAATAAGTTTTCTCTCTAAGCAATATATGACAATTTTTTTTTTCTGTAGAGACTTTTCAAAGAATTGGTTCTTCTTCAAGTTCTTAACAACAAATTGATTTGGAAATTGTCTTGGTGTCGACAAGTGGAGAAATCTAGGCCACTAGCAGCGGTGGTGGTAATGTGCGACAACTGGTCTCCCAACTTGAGAGAATGATGACCCAAGAAAAAATGGGAAAAAAGTGAATGATCATTGTTTAGAATTTTATTTTATAATGGTTCATAACTAGCTAGAGACCCATTAACCAACCCGAATGGTTCTTTGTTTAACTTTTGAATGTTTCCTTCACTGTTCATAGGGAAAGGATTTAGCTTTAGACACTAAAGATGTTTTGGTTAGTTCTCAGAGAGGGACTTATATATTTATGTATATGCTATTCTGCATTTAAAAATTTTGATGATTTGGTTAATTAACTGAAATGGTTGTCTTCAAAAACACAGAATTAGATTTGGATAGAATATTTAATCTCTCCAAAGTTAAATCTTTTCAGTATTGACTGAAATTTAGAGTTAAAGATTTAAAGGTTGCCATTTTAATCTTTCATACTGGTTGTTTTTTCCCCTTGCATGCGTGAATTCATCCATTGGTAGTTTGTAAGGACACTCAAGGTGGATTGAGTGCAAGCACTACTCATCTTATTAGTCTTTTTATTTTTTTTTTAAAATTTTTTTGGTAGTTTGTATATATACCTTTTTTTTTGTTGAAGTTTTTAAAACCGTTGGATCAACAGTAATTAATATGTTTGAAGATTTTTTTTTTTTTTGCACAACAAACAAATAAAGTTTTATAACAAATAGAGTACAAGGTGTTGAGCCCATATGCATAATCTTCACATGGTATCAGAGCCCAAGTTTTGCCCTGGGAGCCTGTTATCAACCCACCTAACAAGACTTGAAGTTGAAGATACTGGACCTGCATTTAAGGCGACCTGTTAACCCACGTGATAGGACCCAACATTCATAGTGGGTCTACACGTGAAGGGGTGTGTTAAGTGGGACAAACCAACATCGAGTATAAAAATAAGAAACTTGTGGGTAAATATAAGGAAGGCCACTCCACCTATTGCCAATTGGTTTTAGGTTGGATGCAAGCCTTGTGTTGAGCCCACATGCATAATTTTCATATGGTATTAGAGCCCAGATTTTGTCCTGGGAAGGCTTTTGTTAACCCACCTAACAAGACCCAAAATTAAAGATACCAGGCCTGCATTTAAGGGGGTGTGTTAGCCCACGTGATAGAACCCGACATTCATATCAGGCTTGCACATGAGGGGGGTGTTGAGTAGGAAAATCCCACATATCGAGTGTAAAAGTAAGAAGCTTGTGGGTTAAATACAAGAAAGGCCACTCCACCTATTGTCAATTCGTTTTAGGTTAGATGCAAACCTTGTATTGAGCCGACATGCTTCTTGCTTTTATACTCGATGTGGGATTTTCCCACTTAACATGCCCTTTCACATGCAGGCCCACTATGAATGTCAGGTCCTATCACGTGGGGTAACACGCCCTTTTAAATGCAAGCCCGATATCTTTAACTTCGGGTTCTGTTAGGTGGGCTAACAACGGGCTTCCCAAGACAGAATCTGGACTCTGATACCGTGTGAAAATTATGCATGTAGACTCAACATAAGATTTGCATTCAACCTAAAACTAATTGGTAATATGTAGAATGGCCTTCCTTGTATTGAGCCCATGTACAACTTTCACAAGGTGAGCCTTGCATTTACATTGATTCTTCATTTGACAATTTTCAGTTGCCTTTCAAAAAAAAAAAGAAAAAAAAAAAA